GTATTGGATTGTTCGCATCCCCTTCGATATCGCTAGCTCCAATAATGGTGCGCCCTTAAAACCTGAGGCCACCGCCCTGATGGTCCGAAGGCACGCGGGAGCTATTTCCTGCCACCGTTTTTGGATTCGCGTCGGCCGGTGCATTTTCTGGTCAGGCAGCTGAAGAAGAGTTAAGAGGCGAAGACGCGCGTGTCACCGGAAAGTTTTCTTGCATTGTGCAGCAGGCGTCGTGTCGCCCCTTCGCAGCTTAAGCCTCAGAGCTTGGAGCCCGAAGACCAATGCTGTCTTCAGAATGGAAGCTTCACCAGCTTCACGACGCATGGTCGTAGAGCTGGCAAACCCGTTGTACAGTCTGTTCTGAGCTGCAAAAAATGTGTTCTGCGGCTGCACCGGGAGGTTCTGTTCTTGCAAAAACCTTCTCTGCAGGAGGAAGACAAACGTCACCTTCGAAAGGCTGCGAGGGAATCAGTCCTAGCCCTTCTTTATCGACTATTTATGTACCGGGCTGCTCAGAACCTTTGTCGGATGTCGTTTTGATCCTTAGATGACCCCGAAGTCGTATGATGAAAATTCTTACACCCCCTAAACCCCAAATAACTTCTAATTAGTTATTTGATTCTATATACTAGTCTAATAAATATAGCAAGAATACGAATGCGTATTCCTCTGGGTGATCTGAGCAGGCCGACTCCGAGCGGAAGAAGGCAGAAGAGAGCCTCAGGCTGGAATCCGAGTGCTCTTATTATTATCCGTACTTGTAGGCATTGTGATTATTCATTATGCTGTTAATTGTTTAGAGTTCTATGTATTATGTATCATGTCAGTTATGTAATTAGTTTTTTCGTTTCTTGGGTTAGCAAGAAGGGGTACTGCAAAACTTAGTAAACGGGTGGCGATAAGAGATAGGTTGCTATGAGGATTAGTAGAAAGGGCACTTTAAGGGTACATTGAGGTTTTCGGGATTTTTCTGGGTTCAGGGGTTGGGGTCTTGAGCTTTCGGGGAAGTTAAAAGGGGTTCATAGGTGCAGGGTTGCGTGGTTTTGGGTCTTGGGGTTTAGGGCATGGGTAACCTCAAGAGTGGATCTGCAGGCTCACCGATGACGTCACAGACGAAAGAGGATCTGGCTCATGAGTGGAGCTTAGCTGACTACAAGTCTGTTGTGATGACTGTGGACCCGCCCTAATGGTGATTAGACTCACTATCATGAACAGCTTGATGGTCTCTTACCAGAAACAGTCCGTTCCGAGGTGCGCCTTCAAGCAGCCCTTATAGCACTCTTGTAGTAACCTTTGTGGTAAACCCTTGCCAGTCTTTTTCTGTAATCTTCGTCGTGCCTTGTAAGCAACCCTAATGGCAACCCTGACAGTACCCATTTCTTTTAGTAATCCTAAGCCCTAAACATCCCTACACCCTAAACGCAAACCATATACCCTAAACCCTAAACCCAAACTGTATACTGAATCCCGTACCGGCGCCAGGTCGGAGCTGGAGAACCTGGGCAGAGATAAGCCAGGGGCCCAAGGTATAGCATGTGGGAGAGTTGCTGTTGCGATTCCTTTGAGGGCTTCTCCAACGGTTCCTTGAAGGACTCCTTGCAGGTTCCCTTAAGGGCTTCTTTCAGGGTTTTAAGGGTTGCTTGTGGTGTATATCGAGAAGGGACATTCGTAGCTCTGAACGCAGGATGGAGGACCCCCCACATTCCTATCCGAACATGACGTGTGAAACTAAGATAGGGGCCTTAGTAATTTACATAGGGTTTTTGAGTACATTCGGCTATGATTATGTAGGGACTTCGAGGGGAATGTTTTCATATTTGATTCACTCCCGGCTCTCTATCTCTCTTCCCACAGGAATGCCTTGGAGCAGAAACTGATTGACGCGGATCGCAAGCTGAAGGCTGGGCCAAGCTTCTTCGACCTTTCCATTGTCTTCTTTCTGTGGGTGTTTGGTGGCGCTTCGCGCGTCTTGCAGCTTGAAGGTGCTGCAGTTTGACAACGAGCAGCTGCAGGTGGGGCATGCTATCATTGCCATCATTAGCTGTTAGCAGTTCTAGCCGTTCTCCCAATACCATTATGATCCAATTTCTATCATTATGATGTGTTTTCGTATATGCACGTTCATGATCAATGCTATTGTCCGTGATGAAGTTTTGCTTGATTGGGGCAGGGTGGTGTTCCTAGGCCTGGGTTGTCAGCACCGATCGAAGTAATCGAACTCGGGAGGTGCCCTGAGCTTGACCTCGCCTAAGTCTCTCGCATGTTCAAGCTCCATTAGCTCATGGCCTGAGCTCCCATTACCTGTCGGGCCGGTGATTAAATCATGCTGACAAATGGGGATACACTACTAACTCATGCCAGGCGGAATTCGGGGTAAGGGTTCGTGCAAGACCTCTCATTTTACATTGCATCTGTACGGTGCACCTTTATCATTTTTGTAACCAACAGATCCCTATAAGCCCCCTGTACAACCCTTCTAAAATCTTTATCCGGCACATAAACCACTAAAAAACCCTTGCAAACCACTAAACCCTTTCAAAACCCTATAAAACGCCTACAAACCCCTGACAAAACCGCTGTGAAACTCTAAATGCCTCTAACACCCTTCTAAAACTCTTAACGGCAAGAATTACAAGAGCAATCGTGAGCAGGCTGAGGCCACCAGATCGCAGGAGTTCCATGCCCGCTTTGCACCCGTGGAACGCAGAAACTGCTATCGAGTTCTACGTCGTCGTCGTCGTCGTCGTCGTAGTAGTAGTAGTAGCAGTAGTAGTAGTAGAAGCAGAAGTACTAGTAGTAGTAGTAGTAGTAGCAGCAGCAGCAGCAGCAGCAGCAGCACTAGGAAGCACTGGTAGCAGCAGCAGCAGCAGTAGTAGCGGTTGCAGTCCTACTGCTGCTCCTGCTGCTGCTACTGCTACTGCTACTACTACTACTACTACTACTACTACTCCTACTCCTACTCCTACTCCTACTCCTACTCCTACTCGTACTGCTACTGCTACTGCTACTGCTACTGCTGCTGCTGCTGCTGCTGCTGCTGCTACTACCACTCCTGCTACTACTACTCCTGCTGCTGCTACTACTACTACGACGACGACGACTGCTACTACTTCTCCTGCTGCTGCTGCTACTACTACTACTACTGCTGCTGCTGCTGCTGCTGCTGCTACCACCACTGCTACTGCTACTACTACTGCTACTACTACTACTACTACTGCTGCTGCTGCTACTACTACTACTACTACTACGACGACTACGACTACGACCACGACCACGCCTACGCCTACGACTACGACTACGACTACGACTACGACCACGACGACGCCTACGCCTACGCCTACGACTACGAC